CACTTCCGGGCTTGCTCTTTGGCTCAAGCAAACTCCACCCGAAGGGTTTCCACGGCAGCAGCTCCATCTGCAGTAACAACATATTATAGATACTAGCATCATGCTCCTCTTAGAGGATTTGCTGACAAGCCGAATATACGTACCCTAGGCCTCTTCAAGCCGCTTGTTAACAAGCGTGATGTCGGCATCAGCCACGTCTAGCTGCCGCTTTAGTTCAGCAAAATCAGTAGATCGGTCGGCTGCCGAACCCTCAGCCACCTACACATAAAGCAGCGCAATTATTAACAGAGATTATGATCCTCTGTCCGCCACGTTGATGGCAACCAGAGTCTCAGGGGCTACTATCTATATAGAGCACACTTAGCATGTGCGGAAACATCAAAAATACACTTTTTGTGTACCTCAAAGCCTCTCAGTAGACTTGTAAAAGCTTCATTCAAACCGCTTTTCGCAGATGAAATCCTCTCAACTACGGTGCCCATTAGAGCATGACGCATCTTGGAGACGGCCGCTCGCTCCGACCCATTAGTGTGTCCGGCTGTGTGTCGGACAATCCCGGACTCCTCCTGAAGCTCTCCTTGGGAGCCGGATACTTTAGACTCCGGGCAGCCGAAGTGTCAACTTCTGGCCTTGGTGGATCCGGAGTAATCCTCCATGACGACACTTCGGGGTCGTCCGCCCCATGTGACGGGGAGGCAGGCGGAGGTGAATCGCTCTCCATCATCTTCGGAGTAAGATCCCCCGAGGACGAATTCTGTGAAGAAGGGCTACGAGCCGGACTGCAACGAATATGTTTTGGTCATTATTCTCATAGACAAAACAGGATGGAAAAATTTTGTTTTTGCCACTCTAGATTTTGACATTTCACTTTTGCCACTCTTTGTTTTTGACAATTATCACAATTGCCATTCGCATGGCAAAAGCAAAATAACAGAGTGGTAATTGTGATAATTATCAAAAGCTAACAGTGGCAAAAATGAAATAAAATTATTTTGCTTTTGCCACAAAATGGCAATTGTGATAATTGTCAAAAAGAAAGAGTGGCAAAAGTGAAATGTCAAAATCTAGAGTGGCATAAGGAAAATTGGCAAAATCTAGAGTGGCAAAAACAAAATTTTCCCAAACAGGATATGCTTATCGAAGTTCTCTTTCACTTACGGTTCGGTGGAGGACCTTCCCCCTTGCGAGGTTTTCTTCCCTTGTTTAGAAGCTTCCGTTTCCAAATCCTCGGAGGCGCCCCTTTTCTTACCTTGGGGAGAGGGGATTCTAGATTCCCCTCCCCGATTATCCTCCTTCGCGGAGGCACCTACTCCTCCAATCTGGATGTGTAAAAAATGAGGCCTGCCCGTGGCTTCTCTATTCCTCCCCTCGTCTTCGCTTGATGGCACCTGATACGGCACGCGGTCAAGCATCCTGGTCAACAAAGGATTCGGCGAGCCTTCGGGAAGAGGGGTTGGACACCTAATCCTCTCCGCCTTCTTGAGCCAGTCCTGGCAGAGAACATTTTTTAGAATGACGTTATAATAAATATAAAGGATGGTGTGTTCGGCAGCAGGAGTATTTACCGGGGTATCCGGGAGGTTACAATTGAGACCCACGTCCTCGGTGGTGTCCGGACACTCTATTCGTGATCCGAATAATAACTCGTACATCTCTTTGAGCGTCATGCCAAAGAATTGTTGAACGGTTTGCGGTCCTTCCGGGTTGAACTCCCACATACGGAGAGGACAACGTTGGCAGGGCAGGGACTCGACAAACCATTATCACTTGCATTACCCTGGCAAGACTGATATCCCTCTTGAGAAGGTCTCGGATGCGGCTCTGTAATGTCGGCATGTCATTTGCCGGCCCCCAGTCCAGCCGTTTATTGACCCATGATGCGAGTTGTGGTGGAGGGCCCAGGCGGAGAGCAGCCGCCCACTTTGTACCTCGGGGAGCGGTGATGTAAAACCACTCCCGCTGCCATAAATCAGAAATCTCCACGAAAGAGCCCTTTGGCCATGGGGCGTCGACGCCTTTGCTTATTATAACACCTCCGCACTCTGCATGACGCCCGTCGATCACCCTCGGCCTCACATTGAAGGTCTTGAGCCATAGGCCGAAGTGGGGGTGATGCAGAGGAAGGCTTCACACACGACGATAAACGATGAGATGTGAAGAACGGAATCTGGAGCTAGATCATGGAAATCTAGCCCGTAATAGAACATGAGCCCTCTTATGAAGGGATCAATGTTAAAACCTAGCCCTCGGAGAAAGTGGGACATAACGACAACGCTCTCGTTGGGCTCGGGAGTGGGGACGACCTGCCTTGGAGCAGGTAGCCTGTGTGGAATCTCGGTAGTGAGATACCTGGCCTCCCTAAGCTTCCGAATGTCCTCCTCTGTAACGGAGGAGGCCATCCACTGACCTTGATTGGATCCGGACATGGTCGAAAGACCGAGGTGCTTTAGCTTGAGCCTTGGGTGTTGGAACTCGAGGTGCGGGAGGGGAAGGATCGAGCGTGGAAAGAAAAGGACAGGCCTTGGCCCCCTTTATAAAGAGGACGAATATCAAGCGTCCCCCGCGTGACCATTTGAGACTTGCCTAAAATCGAGGAGTCATATTAAACAAACACGGTTGGGTTACCCACACAATCCCGTGATAAGGGGGGGACATGATCTCTGCTTCGACAAGACGTGTCAAGGAAACCGCCTCGCATTACGTGCGGAGGCTGGTTGTGAAAACGGTTCGAATAATGACCGAGCCATGGTGTGACGTCACGCTATAAAAAGCTGTCGGCAGATTATATTTGTGGAAAATTATACTCTCTACGGTGGTATGTGGAATTTGTTTTGCAGAGCCGGACACGATCTTTGTGTCCTAAATCTTCTATGGAGTATTCGGAGAAGGAACCTCCTTGCAATACCGAAGACAATTTGCGCGCCGGACTCATCATCATTGAAGCCTGGTTCAGGGGATACTGAGGGAGTCCTGGATTAAGGGGTCCTCAGACAGCCAGACTATATACTTTGGCCGGACGGTTGGACTATGAAGATACAAGATTGAAGACTTCGTCCCGTGTCCGGATGGGACTCTCATTTGCGTGGAAAGCAAGCTTGGATATTCAAATATGTAGATTTCCTTCTCTGTAACCGACTCTGAGTAACCCTAGCCCCCTCCGGTGTCTATATAAACCGAGGGGTTTAGTCCGTAGGACAACAACAACAATCATAATCATAAGCTAGCTTCTAGGGTTTAGCCTCTACGATCTCGTGGTAGATCAACTCTTGTAATACTCGTATCATCAAGATCAATCAAGCAAGAAGTAGGGTATTACCTCCATCGAGAGGGCCCGAACCTGGGTAAAACATCGTGTCCCCTGCCTCCTGTTGCCATTAGCCTTAGACGCACAGTTCGGGACCCCCTACCCGAGATCCGCCGGTTTTGACACCGATAGTGGTCTTGGCGTGGCGGTCTTGGCGGTGGTGGTTTTGGCGGTGGTTGTCTTGCCTGAGGTCAAAGATGATACCCGTGCTTGTGGCCGTCCTGCCATACTTATCATGTTCCTACTTCTTAGTTTCTTTTGGTGACGATGATGATGTTCCATGTCTTGCAATACTTATGTTCTTGAAGTTTCGACAATGATGATCTTTAGATGATTATGATGATCTTGAGTATTTTTAGATGATGAACTTGATGATGATCTGTCATATTTCTGTGTATATATGCATACTGTCATATTTTGTGCTTTTGAATGCTGTCAAATGGATGAAAAGAGAGAAAACAAAGAAAATAATTAAAAAAAAGAACAGATCTATGCCGACGGCCTTGCTGTCGGCATAGATATGCCCAGGAGTGCCCAGTTGTCGCCGCGTGGCAGAGATATGCCGATGGCTAGGCCGTCGGCATATCTCTGCTGCCAGGAGCGCCCAACGGCTGCCACGTGGTTGGCTAGCGTCTTTGACGGCGTCGTCCGTTGCCGTCTGGTGAAAATTTGCGCCGACGGTGTTCCTATGCCGTACGGACGCCTTCGGCTTATATGCCTATGCCGACTGCTTTAGCAGGAATGCTATTTATTTAACGGTCGCATGGTCTGTACATGTTCTAGAGACACCAAACTTGGAAGCCACCATACACTAGAAATGTGAAGATCTGGGAATACACTAATGCATAAAAAAAATCCTATCTAGAAACGACATGAATCCAGTTTGAACTTCGATTGGCTACTCATGTTAGAGAAGGAATACAGTACCAACTATTACGTTATTTATAAGAAAAGACAAAAGCTTCGAGGCATATTGCTCAATAACAAAATGTGATTAAAACTTTTAAGGCATAATAAGAAAGCAAAAGGAAATTAATATTCGTGTACAAATGACAAAGCACGAAATTTGAATCCAGAAGTCGCAATAAGGATAAATTACTCAAAAGTAGATTAGAATCTACCCCCTCAATTCCAAAATAGATGACTCAACTTTATACTAACTTTAGTACAAAGTTAGTACAAAGATGGGTCATTTATTTTGGAACGGAGGAAGTACTAGATAGATGAAAATCATCACGAATGGTTTCAACTAATCAATGATAGTATCGATGGTTAAGTATTAGGGTACAACAATAATTGGATGGTGCTTATCTAGATAACTAAACAAGCACAAGGAGATCTACTCTGGCTGTCAGGCACATGCAAATGCTATCAAAACTTCATGAAAGGTTCACGCAAGTCGATCCTTGTGTTCAACAGATACATAATTGTGAAGCTGAACTACCCAGGTAAGAGTAGTAGTGCCGATATGCTCATGAGTCTGAGAAGAAAGGAACATATGAAAGATAAGGAGCTCTACAGTTTGGACCAAGATCACATATAAAACGGCGCTCCTTAGAATCCACTGTGTATGACATTAGCTTCGTACATGATTGGCGACTCGTGACCAGGGACGAGTAATAATTTAATACTATAAATATCACACTTTTTTCTGGGTGGACGAAAACATCGTAATTCCACACAAACGATGAGAACTCTATTCCCAGTAGTTGCAAGTGGGGTGCTTCAAGGTCCAGTTTTCACCATTAGAACCATCAAGAGCCCATATTGATAGTTCAGAAGTACCCTTATTTGCGAAATGCAATTGCCCTTGTGATAGATAAACATTATGAACATCATCATCAGAATGTGTCATAGGGGCACGGATGACCCTACGGTTTCCCTCCACGCCAAAACCTATAACCAAACCAGCATTCGTAGACAGATACAGCATCCCCCTGAAAAGCACGCTTTCTGAAGTGCAGCGTACCGATATTGGACTCTTCCAGCCAACTCGACGTGCCCAAACTGCAGCTTTGGACGAGTAGATCCCCACTGATTTGATGTCTGTGGTAGCACCAGCAATCGTCGGCCTATTCGCACCCACAGAACTGGCAGGCACAAACTCGAACACATGGAAGTGGGAGGAGACGGCTGGGTCGAACCCCAGGCGAGCGATCGAGGCGTTGCTGGAGCAGTTGGTGGCACGCACAACCACCCATCTTTCAGTGACGGGATTGCACACCACGTAGTCTGCTATATTGTTGGGACCAAGGCGTGTCCTGCGTCGGCAAAGGAGGAGGAGGCCATTGCAGCCGTCTAACAACTGCATCTCAAATCTATCCTATTTGGCAGCATGAACGAGAGGGAGGTGTCCATGCTAGCGCACCAGTTCCCCGATAGGCTTTGGTAACCTGTATTCTCGTTGCGGATTTGGTAGAAGATGCCGGCGAGGGTCGACTGGGGCAGCTTCTTGCGGTGGTCCGGGTGGGAGACGAGGTCGTGCCAGCGCCTGGAGACGCACTTGCAGCAGCATGTGGACCTGTAGGGAACGCAAGAGAAGATCTCGACGAGGAGGTCGTCGGAGAGCTCGGACACCGGGCTACTCTCCGTGTCTCTCTTCTTCTTGCAGCTCCCTGTGCCTGGCGCCATCGCCGGCCAACCGGAAGTTTGAGACTTATCCACCGGTGGCGGTGATGGAAAGCGTGAGGATCAGCCTATTGCTTGCTTGGCGCGCGATCTGCGGCGCGAGAGTTTGAGGGTTTCGTTCGTGTTCGCGGCGGCGAGAGACGGATCGAGGTTTTTTTGGAAGGTCCGTATGCCCAGTTGCCCACCGGTGATGGGTCGACGGGGCCTGTATACGTGCTTTTGTCAAAAATATCTGGGCCGTATATGAGTCGGAACCTACATATAGGCAGACTACAACTTCAATTCCAATTCGTACGTTTTTTTTCTCTTTTAGATCTGTCTAGGACACGCCTAGATGTGTCCCTAATTATTTCACATCTAAGTGACTCCATCAAACGAAAAGAAAACGAAAAAAAGACAGAATAAAATGTGTTTGCACGAATCTTAGCGTAAAATCAATGACACAGGACTTGGGGAGCACATCTAGATGTGCTTTAGCCAAACTGTTTTTTCATATATTTCTAATAGGGCACGCTACGGATCGGCCGGCGCATAACGAGAAAACATCTGCTGCCTCTCTTGCTGTTGGATGGATGCTGGGATGGCCGTTCGATCTACCCATCCACGAGTGCCACCTCCCTTTTGCAATAAGATTGGTGTTTTAGAACAAGCCTTTCGAGAGGATGCTTCTTACAAAACTTCTGAACCGCTATTTACCTTTTTGAAACATAGTCCGTGTTACAGAACTTTTTTCAACTGAGGTTTTGTTGCAGCTTTTTTTACAACAGAGATTATGTTATAGGAGAAACTTCTGCAACATTGGTGTTTTTGCATAAAAATTTAAGGGGATTCATGAGGAGTCTGGGGCACATGTCCCGCGGGACACGTGTCAAACGAGCAAACAGGGGTTGTGTTGCAGATTTTATTTCCGTGTTCAGGTTTTTGTAACATAGATGATGTTGCAGAAGGACTTTTTGCAACATGGGTGATGTTGCAGAATCTTTTTTTTACATAAAGGATGATGTAACACCGCCCTTGTTGTAGAAGACAACTCGGGGAAGAAACCTATGGATGCGCTGGGCATAAGGATAGCACTGTGTTGGGCTCCATTGGTACACGCGTCACGCAGGGGAACCGGTGGCGAACGAAAAGATCCGGCTGTCCATTTCAAGTGTTTCCCTTTCTAGTAATGTAGAAGAGTTGAAGATTTGGTCACAACAAGAAAACACCAACCCCTCAACATGAAACAAGAACCCACCAAGCACCTACCCCTCAAACAAAAATAAAAAGGAAAGCAAGAAACCACTAGAAATAGGATCTTGAAAAAGGATCTTCTCGAACGCAGTGTCATCTCCCCCTCAACACAAACCACCAGACTATATTACCAAATCGACACAAAGATCTTATGATGCTCGAATTGTCCTCCATTATCCAATCTGAACATTCCCTGGATAGAATATCAGAATCTCAGGATGGAGCAAACAATAGAAAGTTTCTATGTTGGTGAATTTACAAGGTATGTTAGACCATAAATTCCCAAAAACAACATGATGCAGTTACAGGTACCCATGCCTCAACTAACTGAACTGCTGACGGTGCTATACCTGCAAGGGCTGCTAATATATGTGTCAAATAACTGTCCACGTAAACTCGGGATACATGCAAAAAGATCTGAGAAAGCATATGCGTCGGTACCTTTCTATCACAGCCATCCGTTGCCCTTGGGATCGTCAGTGCCGCAACATGGAAAAGGCCTGGGTGCTCAAAATTAATCTTGTTTGTGTTTGCATGTCTCGGCCTGTGATGAACTTACCAAGACACAAGCTTCTGCGCTACCCCACCGCTGAATATGTGTTGTGCGACAGTGGCACACGAACAAATGCACGGGTTGCACTGTTCCTGGCCCGCCAAGGCATCTGTCTCATAGAAATGTAGAAGCCGGCCGTATGTGTGTTGCCTTTGCCTTCTCTCTCTCTCGGACATTTACAAGCAGTATGTGTGGACTACAGAGTCCATAGGTGACTGAGAGAGCACGAGCTGTCAAGGGTGAGAAGATTGAAGGACCGGGGCGGGTAGAGGGTGTAGGCCTAGATAGCCGTCACAATCCACCCCAACGATCCATTAGATAAGAGTGACCCATTAGATAAGAGTGACCGATGCTGACCAACTTCCCAGAACCAAGGAGCGAAAGATCGAATCAAACCCATAGATCGGTGGAGAAAGGGGCGAACGGCCATTTATGTGAATAGAAGCCTCTGACCATCGAAAGCGACCCGAGTCAACTGCAACCGATAGCCTGCTAAACACGTCTAGAATTGATGATGCTTAACCCTGTCTTTGGGAATCTTGAGACCATGGGCCTAAGCCAAATTCCACGATAACGGGTCCTGACACATATGCTTAAAAAATCCGCAATCAATATAAATAAGGGCATTCAAGCACCAAGAAAACAATTACAACTTGACAAATGTCTACTCGACACATCCATATTGTTTAGAAGCATTACTCTGTTAAGACTTCTACTGTGCATCTGCCAGTGACTCTGAGAACAAAGGAACATATGAAAGATAAGGAATCCTGCAATACCATCCAAGATCTGTCATAAAATGCTGCTCCCTAGACTCCACATTGTATGACAAAACTTTTGTCAATGATTGGCCCCCGATGTGCAGTTGTGCGCATAGTACTATAATGGCATTGTCTTCCGGGTGGATGATAACATCGTAATCATGCATTGATGAATACTCTTTTTCGAACAGTTGCAAGTGGCTGACCTTGTTCTTCAAGGTCCAATTTCCTGTACTAGAATCATCAAGAGCCCAGATTGATACTTCAGAATCACCATGTTTTGCCAAATACAATCGCCCCTGTGATAGAGAAATATCATAAGCCCCACAACCATCGCGTAGTGCAGGTGTACGAATGACCTTACATTTTCCCTCCATGTCGACTGCTATAACCAAATCATTATAAGAAGATAAATACATCACTCCCTCCATGTCGACTGCTATAACCAAATCATTATAAGAAGATAAATACATCACTCCGCCAAGAAATACGCTGGATGAAAAGATGCATATATCAACTAGATGGTTCCCAGTACTTTCATGTGTCCAAACTCCAGCTTTGGAAGAATAGACCCCCACCACTTTAATGTATCTACGACGGTCAGCTTCATCCAAGACAAAAGCTGGTACGAACTCAAAAACATGGAAGTGGGATGAGACGGCCGGATCAAACCCCAAGCGAATGGCCCACAGCTTGCTGGACCAGTTGGTGGCAGGCACGACCACCCATTTTTCAGTGGCCGGATTGCACACCACGTAATCCATCATCTTGCCATCAGTGCTCTTCCAGCAGCGACAGAGAAGGAGACCATTGCAGCTGTCCATAATGTCTAGTCTCTCGCATTTGGGCAGGAACGAGAGGGAGGCGTTGATGCGAGGGCACCAGTTCCCCGAGACACTTTGGTAGCGGCGAGAGCGAGACACCTGACGGCTAGTTATGTCGTATGTTTCAAAGAAGAAGCCGGCGAGGGTCGACTGGGGCAGCTTCTTGCGGTGGTCGGGGTGGGAGACGAGGTCGCGCCATCGCCTAGACACGCACTTGCAGCAGCAGGTGGACTTGTACGGCAAGAGGGACATGATCTCAACGAGGAGGTCGTCGGAGAGCTCGGACACAGGGCTCTTCTCCGTGTCCCTCTTCTTCTTGGAGCTCCCTGGCACCATCGCCGGCCAGCCTGCAGTTTGGGATGGAGGACGTACGGAAGACTGGAGACCCGCGCCCACCGGTGAGCGTCAGATCCTACCAAGTGCTTGCTTGGCGGCTAAGGGTCTTGTCCGCGGCGGCAAGAAACGGAGGTGGAACTAAAAAGACGAGGTCGTATGCCTTTCTGTTTTTAGGGTTAGGTCGTATGCCTCGATGAGGCCTCCTGTATCTGGGGTTTTATCTTCAAATCTGGGCCATATATGAGTGGAAACGTACAAGTAGACGGACTTCTATTTCAATTCGTACGTCATTTATGGATTTGTAGACGCAGATTGACAGACAGGGCCGGGCCGGCAAAATGCGGGGCCCTGTGCGAAACTAAAAAATGAGCCAAGTCTCACTAGAAACATAAACTATCGAGCAATTATAAAGTATGTGATATATTGTCTGACATAAAAATTATGTAGTACTGAAACACTAAAACTAAAGTGATACGGCAGCAGATATCAATTGGAGATTATGTGTCAATGTTTGGCAATTAGACGGATCGTCTTACTCACCTAGTCTTGTGTCCTATCCGGTCGAACTACTATCCTGTGATATTTAATCGAGGAGGCAATCATGCAAGAATCTATCTCTCTAATGATCCATGCAAAAATTTAATTAGAAAATAGAAATTAAGATGGTAGGAGTATAGTTAGGAGTAGAAGCCAGCAATATTCCTCTCTGATACTCTGAGAACCCGAGAACACGAGAAGATTTATTGATGGATGCGAAGTTGTGAACCAACGAAGACTTTACTGTATTTGCAATGACAAAACTAGCGTACTACGTCCCTTCATTCTGCTTGTGATTGTACCTTTCACCGTGTCGTCCATCGCGGCGTCGCCGGATTTGGAAATCTGGAGGATGCGCATGCGCCGTGTCGCCAACCCATGGATTCTGGATGCAATCGATCAAGCAGAACTGGACACCGCCCTTCGGTTTCTGATCGAGCAGATCAGTTTTTTTAGGGAGATTGAGGTATAGAGCAGATCAGCAAGCCCTGGCGGCTGGCATCCAGCAAACGATATCAAGCAGATCGAGCCATCAAGGCATCGAGCAGCGGCCTGGGACGCTGGAGCAGCGGCCTGGTGGACTCACGTGCGGGGGGGAGTCACGCGCCAGCAGGCACCGGCCCAACTCCATGCGCGGCCCAACGCCTACCTCAGGAATAATATGTACATAGACATGTAAATTTTTTGGGGCCCCTCAAGTTTATGGGCCCTGTGCGGGCCGCACAGTTCGCACCACTATGGGCCCGGCCCTGTTGACAG